TATTTAAGTTATTATTGATTTGAATCTTTATATAATACACCTGAGGATGGTTCTTTTAGAAACTGAAACATGTCGTGAAACATGAAAAATGATGGTCTAATGTAAATTGAATATTTCGATAAAGAACATCATTTAATATTTTAAATATTTCAAATGTTAATTATTGTAATATTTTAATATTTAATAAGACTTTATTGTGATTAGACGGACAAGATTTAATATATATTTATTATATCACAATATGACGCAACTTTACCATCTCAAAAATAACTTTATTAAACCTCTCGACAAGATATGTAAAGTCGCGGTTAGATATGACTTATTCAGCAATGTAATTGTCGCGATTTTAAGGTTAGGTTATCGGAACCGAGAGCCCACAAGTCTCCTCATAAAAAACAAACAAACATCGCAGTCGAAACAAAACAGGTGTGTGGAAGTGGTCTTACTGCTACTGTAAACCTCTGGAGGGGTGTACTACCGGCTGCATCGAGGAGCTGTAAGGCAACAAATATAAAACCGTTGCCTGCTCTCATTTAACTAGGAACAGAACAACAGAAGATCGACAGAAAACTAAGTAGAATGCCGGTCACTGACAATTCCATACATTCCGGAAGCTGGGCTTTTCTCTCATGAGATTAGCCCGATTTGTCACTGAGTCTTCAAGTTGTGATGAATTATGATAAAAACACGTCAACATCTTGCTTTCAAGACACACGCACCTACCATTTGCGTGACCTCCATTCAAAAACAAAACATTAAAAAACGTTGTACCGTTAGAAAACAACTGACGACAGGTGTTGTTTGTAGAGCCACCTAGTGGTAGGTTCCTTAAACAATGTTGCCAGATTAACCCACGTCTGAATCATGTCACTGTAACAGTTAACGGGCTTCTTAGTTTGGCAACACTGATAGGATTTTCTCAATATTGGCCAAGGCGTACGAACGTAATGTTAAGTTCAAGGTCTCAGTATCTGTTAAAGTCTTTCAGATGTAGTCGGAAACGTGGTTACCTATGAATGCGGACTTTTTAAATAAGAGGGAAGAATGTTGTTTCGTAGGATGTTGGGTAACAAAGTGGAAAGTGTATTGTGTGAGTATATTGGACATGTGATAGTGATTTGCTCGGGTTGAATGAACTTGGCAGTTCTAGGATTATAGAATGATTAACACGAAGGCATTTTGAGAGAGAGAAAAAGGGACTAGTGGATTTTTCAAGTGAAAATAAAAATGAAGAAAACTACGAAGTATATTTTGGTGAGTACTAAATTTACTTTGATATCACTGACTAACTGAACTTTGTGCAAAGTACAGATGTTGTATTTTCCTTGAGGCAGGGACTTAATTTTTAAATACTATTTAGATGTACTTCGTCTTCAGAGAATTAAAGAAGAATTAACATAAGACTGATTTAAGTCACACATAAATAACATGATTTAATTCAGTTGCTGTTGAGAGGCTTTTATATAAGTCTGAAATTTATTTTTGTTAACTGAGATACTAGTACGTCATTAAAGTTATTGAACTTCACAAAATTTGGCGTCTACATATATTGATATTCATCAGAAGAAGGCGTTGGCGAAACGTTAATCAGTTTTATTAGCTTCAACC